TTGGAGAAAGACATTTAACAACCAATTATTTTGCTGCAGCTGCCTGTTGTATAATTCATACTGTTGTATAATATTTCCTTTTTTATTTACTTAGCATGTATTTTGTTCTATTTTGTTGTGAGCTACTTTGGGGGGCTTTGCGGGGACAGCATGGAGTAGAAGTAACTGAATGAGTGATGTTTTTAAACAGAGACTGAATAGCCATCTGTCATGGATTCTTATCATTGCAGGGGATTGAACTAGATCCCTCTCAACTCTACAGTTATTTGCATCTATGGATCAGATTGTTGCACACTCAGCTTAGAAATAAATATGTTCATTTGGAGTATAATGCAGAATCAGGTTAGAAGGATGTTCACCACACTGTCTTCATAGATCCATAGATCCATTGCTTTCTCCCTTTTTAATATGACGGCATTGTCTTTGCCTCCTCCATGTCGTCGGCTTACAGCTTTATGGTTGTTGTTGTTACAAAGTTATCAAAAACTTGATGTTGTCATCATTCTCTAAACAGGAAACTCACTGCTTTGCATTCTTCTTCTACCACCTCCAGTCTAATTGGTTTCTCAAGGAATTGAAAGCAGTCTACAGATTGGAGAGCAACAGCCTTCCTCAGGATGTGTATTATTCTGATTAAATATTTGGAATGAAGATTAAATGATTCTCTGCTTAGTTTGATTATGCTTACTGACTTAGCCAAAAAAAAAAGGGAGAGAGGGAGAGCGAAGAGAAGAAACCCTCCAAAACAAAACAAAAATCACCAGCCACTTGTGTTTTGAGAACCTGAAGTGGCATGACTTTGTGATTAGAACCATTTAATTTGCATTTGCTTGGATGAATGAAATGAATATTAAGGAAGGAATCCAACTTACTACAAGGGTGTCTGTATATCCTCAGAATAAATTTTGCCACTTTTCCATGAGATAAGATTTGTTTGATTGCATTTTTAAAGGAACTAATCTCGAAGCTCCCCAGTTGGCACACTTGTAAAATAAAGTTATTATTCAACTTCATTCTCATGAAATGTGTTGCTCGCATTTCCAAAGTTTTGCTCGTATTCACATAATGTACTTTCAGGGGCACTGTATGAATTGTACGGCTGTGTTGCACAGTTGCCCAGAGACATCTGTGGCACAAGGGAAATTTGTTCCACCGTGTTTCCTTCTCACACAATGGATTTTCTGGTCTTTTAATTGCCATTTTGTCTAATGGAACCTACAGTGATTGTGTTGCATTTGTATATATTACAAGAGCTCTGGTTTATAGGGTTTAGAGACGCCAGTCAGGCTGAGAACATTTGAAAACTGCCAAGGATCAGGGAAGTGATTATGTAGAGCATCAGATTATTTTTTTCAGTTATCTTAGAGAACCAAACTTGCTAATATTTTGAAGCAGGCAGTGGCCCAATAACAAGCACGATTCAATACAAATGACAAGAAGACCACCCATGGGATTCTAACCTTCTTCTCTCTTCTAATACTCATAAATGGTAGCTGACCAGGCAAATGATTTAATTAACCAGAAACTCCTCTCTTTGGGCTGTAAATTCACGTAATAGGTACCACATGTTTCCATATGGGGCGTTTTCATGTGTGTAAGAACATTTAGATGAACTTTCTTAAGGTCTTAGGGAATTTGCAGGCTCATACAGAAGCAGGTGTATCCTTCAGATATGCTGGTCCTGAGCCATATTGGTCAAAATCAGCCCCTTGAATTATGCATGGAAACATATGGGCCTGTTGCTTGCAAGACATGTGCCTTCAGCTATTAAAGATACAACCCTTTCTCAATGTCAATTTAGTTCAAGGATGGGGAATCTGTATTTTGCTAGATTATGACTCTCACCATCTCTGAGCGTTGGCCATCTGGCTGTAGATAACAAGAGTTGGATTCCAGTAAGTTCCCCACCCAATGTTTAGACCAGGGTTCCCCAAACTTGGGCCTCCAGCTGTTTTGGGACTACAATTGCCATCATCCCTGACCACCGGTCCTGCTAGCTAGGTATGCATGCAGATACAAGCAGGAGCTCTGCTATTTTTACATGGGCACCTTACACATTTGTTGAGTCGCTTTGTACTTAGAGCACCTCCAGAAAGCCTTTTAATGTGCACTCGGGATTATTTGTGCTATTGACCCAATCAGGGGTGTCATAAATGCTCCCACATGGCAGCCTCAAAACTATATATATAATAATTTGTTGATTTTCAAATATAAAAAAAATTAAAAATGACAATAACAATAAAAAAGCAGAAACAAAACAAAACAAATTGACTTCCCTCTAGTCCCTTCCTTGGTTCCATTATTTTTCAATATACTGCATGTCCATTGCTCAGTTCAAACCTTATTTAAATTACTTATTATCCATTCATAACAAAATTACAAGTGATTTCTAAAACCCTGCTAATGTATTAACTTGTGTACAATACTTCTGTGTATATATATGCAATAAACATTTTCCATTTTTCCTTAAATTCATCTCTTCCTCTTAGTTTCATTGTCAGTTTTGCCATTTCAGCATATTCCATTCAATTAACTTGCCCATCTTCTTTAGCTGGGACACGTTCTTCTTTCAGCAGCCTCAAAACCATTAATAATCCATGTGTGGCCCATAGCTTTGTGCCGAAATCCCATCAGTTTCCCTACTACAAATCTCCTGGGGTGTTTTGTTCTGCTTTTGTTGCGCTCTAGCATAGAGGCCCCTGAAAATATGTCAGGGAAAGCTGCTGCCAGGCAGCCAATCCTCAGAGACCTGTTCTTAAAACAAATCCAGCTGCCACATGGGACAGAAAACCACCTGCATCTGACAGATCAGGAGGGTTTACTACCATGTTCCCTAGTGCGTTGCTTGGCAGGTTTCTCCAACGCTCTCTGCCTGCTCCCCCAGCACATGCGTGCAAAAGATGCTTAACTCTAGTAGGCATCCAATGCTCAGGTTTGTCCTCCTTCTTCCTGGGCTGGCACTAACCTAGTTTGGTGATGGCAGGGTTGTGGCAGAGCACCATCCCCTACCACTCAGAAATATTGCCAGGGCAATCAGAGTAATGCGGACAATTTCATCGTCTGTCAGAGACCAGGCTGAGGAGTTCTGCTCTGATGAGGAATGGTGGGAGCCTCCCCCTCCTCCTGCTCCTGACCAGGTTCCTGAAGCTGCCCAGGAGCAGTGGAGCAGTATAGATTTGGAACAGTGGTTTGCAGAGGGGCATAGTTCAGAAGACAAAAGGTTGGGATGAACTGTGGGGTGAACAGCAAAGTGAAGAAGAACTGGAAGAGAGAAGAACTGGAAGAGAACTAAAAGACTCTCTCTCACACTTGAAAGTGTCCAGCCTATCAGTCCAAGGTCACTTAGAGCAGATAAGGTGGCTGTACAAAAAGCACAGTGGTTGCTAGATCAGATTGTGAGGCTAGGGGGGAGAAACCTTAACTGGGAGCACCTTCATTTTGAGAATGGCTGCTTTGTTCTTTTGCTGTGTTCATTTAAGACTCTTTAAATGGTGAGAGACTCTTTTCACTTGTCCTGTTTATCTATGGCCAAAGGTGGGAGAGGAAGCCGAGTCCCCGAAGACACCCCCTCCACTCCCCAGCTTTGTGCGTGTCTCTGTGCGTATATATTTGCAAGTGCAGTGGGAGCTATAAGGGCTGGAGTATTCTCAAGAGTATGGAGAGAGGCCAGTGCAGAGGAAATGGTGCTGGGGTATCACTGCAGGAGAAGGTGAAGACTGTGCACTTCAAATCTACTCCAAATGCACTTTAATCGCACCAGTGGGTTGTCGTTGCACACACCCGCAGTAAAACACCTGTCTAGATGTGTTCTTACTTTGGCTGCAGAACACGGCATTTAAAAATACGAACCAGCTCTTTGAAATGGAATACCATCTGTCTAATCTTATTTATGGCTCTGCCATAAATATAACTCTGCAGAGTTATATTGTTGCATTTTATTTCATTTTTTGACATTTCATAACAGAATTGCAATCCACCCTCTTTAACGTGAAATTGAAACGAATGTTTTGACGCCTAAAATACATGGAGCTCTGAGCAGAGAGAAGTCAACAGTAAAAGGCACTGGTCTCAGGCAGGCAGTTTCGCCTTTGCCAATGCATAGAAAGGTTTACTGTTTATTCAGCACTCTTAGATCACTTTGTTTGAAACAATGCCATGGAACTTAACTATGGGGGAAAGTATGCAGATTGCTGTAATGGACCCATGGCACTTTGCTAAATGGGAATTTGGAAATGTAAATACTTGTGCAGCAAAAATCAGAATTAATGGAAGCCGGTGAATGAATACACACATACACACATGTGAAAGGTGTGCTTAGCATTGTAGAACTAAGCTAAAGAGAGGCAGAGATAAAGTAGGGTTGCCATATTTCATCAAAACCAAGACACCCAGAAAGCTGCAGGGCTTATTTTTTAGGGAAATTCCAAAAAAATCACAGTAATATCCAGGAAAATCCCGGCAGGGAGACTGATTTAAGGATTGAGGACAGATATGCAAACACCCACAATATAATTTAATAATTGGATACCTTCGAAGACCAATGGTTGAACCAAATTTGAGACGCTGCCATTGTGGTTCATTTCATTAGACTTCTCCCCAAACAGACAAAAACAAAACAGCTTTGGCTGAAAAAAATATTTCAGAAACGATTGACTAGAACGCATCAGCATAAGAGGTGATCCTATGCTAGCCTTCCATAATATCATGGTCAGATCAGTTGAAGGATTATATAAATCTGCTACTGAAACTATGGTTTAACGGCATAGCAGAAGCTAAATAGGTTCTATGGCTGCCACCTACTGGACAAGGAACACGTCACAAGGAACACATCTCCATGCACTGTCCTGACTCAGGCCAGTAGACCTCACGAAACCTGAAGGATATCCCACTTCTCCTTGGGCTACCTAATAATCGTCAAAGGGGAGTACACAGAGTTTGGTTCACAACGCTTTGTACTGGGAATGTCTTCATAGAATTCCAGCTACATGGGCCGCGGTTTGGTCTGTGGTGCTACAGCTCAGTTGATAGAGTATGAGTCTCTTAATCTCAGGGTTGTGGGTTCGAGACCCATGTTGGGCAAAAGATTCCTGCATTGCAAGGGGTTGGACTAGATGACCCCCGTGGTCACTTCCAACTCTACAGTTCTATGATGCTATGATTCTATGTGCTCTTACATGTGTGCTACAAAGCCTAGTGTCCTGCTTGCACCCTGAAACAACTTGTCCATAAACTCTCAACCCTAATCCCTATTGCTAAGCGTGTGTGTGTGTGTGTGTGTGTGTGTGTGTGTGTGTGTGTAGACCAGAGAAAGGGCCCAACAGCTACAACAGCATGACAGCTACAATGGCTAAGATGGCAACTGCCCAATTAGCTTTTGTATTTCCCGAACATACTTGGCCTAGCTGACTGCTGCGGGCTGCCTTTTCAAAAAAATAATAATAATAGCGAAGTGTCATACTAAGGATGAAGATTATCTACTTTGTGGAGCATTGAATTGCCATTGTATAGTTCATTTTCGGGCCGACCAGAAGAAGATTCACAAAATAGAGATTGAAATCCGGGTATCTCATTGTCAACGTTCTGTCGGGAATACACCAGCACAAGTTTAGACATAGAGAGTTTTTCTCATTGAAATTGGAATATTTGGACTGCTTGGCTCTGAGAAACTGAGTGGTGCATGCCATTATTATTTTGGCATTGTGTATGAGGGTGAAAGAGGAGAGCGCAAAATATGGTCTGAAGCTCAACATCAAAAAAACTAAGATCATGGCTGCTGGGCCCATCACCTCCTGTCAAATAGAAGGGGAAGAAATGGAGGCAGTGAGAGATTTTACTTTCTTGGGCTCCATGATCACTGCAGATTTTGACAGCAGTCACGAAAGTAAAAGATGCCTGCTTCTTGGGAGAAAAGCAATGACAAACCTAGACAGCATCTTAAAAAGCAGAGACATCACCTTGCCAACAAAGGTCCGTATAGTTAAAGCTGTGGTTTTCCCAGTAGTGATGTATGGAAGTGAGAGCTGGACCATAAAGAAGGCTGATCACCAAAGAATTGATGCTTTTGAATTATGGTGCTGGAGGAGACTCTTGAGAGTCCCATGGACTGCAAGAAGATCAAACCTCTCCATTCTGAAGGAAATCAGCCCTGAGTGCTCACTGGAAGGACAGATTGTGAAGCTGAGGCTCCAATACTTTGGCCACCTCATGAGAAGAGAAGACTCTCTGGAAAAGACCCTGATGTTGGGAAAGATGGAGGGCACAAGGAGAAGGGGACGACAGAGGACGAGATGGTTGGACAGTGTTCTCGAAGCTACTAGCATGAGTTTGACCAAACTGAGGGAGGCAGTGGAAGACAGGAGTGCCTGGCATCCTCTGGTCCATGGGCTCACAAAGGGTCAGACACGACAAAACGACTAAACGACAACAAATGTTATTTAAGATATGTAACAGACCTTCTGTTACATATCTTAAATAACATTTGTTGTCGTTTAGTCGTGTTGAAATGCTGTACATTATTGTTCATGAGTTCATGAGTAAACTACATACAGTGCTGTTTAGTTTGTGATTTATCTCTCTCTGTATGCCTTGGGCGCGCTACTGCCTGATTGCATGCCCCTTGCAGTAAGTTATGGCTTGGACGTGGCTGCCTGTATTCTTATCTGCTGCCATGCCCCAGCAGACAATTGCACTCGAGAATGCAAAAAATAAATAAATCTACTGGTCCACAAGCAGGAGATGAGAGCAACAACCCCTTTCCATATTCTGATGCCTAGGGTTGGATCCAACTAGATTCCTCTCAGGTTAGACTCACTGAAATTAATGAAATTAATGTCCATTAGTTTCAGTGAGTCTACCTACCCTAAGGAGGGCTGGCATTGGATACAACCCAGTTAGTTGAACTTAGGCTGCACTGAAGTCAATCATGACTTAAGACCTATTGATACAAGTGGGGACTAAGTTCAGTTACCTGTGTCTGCATCTGGCCTGTAGCATCTCTGAACGTGGAGGTGCCACATAGGTAAGTAATTAGGTGAAGAGCAGACATTTTCTATAGAAAGAGCTGTTCAACAGTGGAACAAATTCCTTCCGGAGGTTGTGGGTTCTCTTTCATTGTAAGTTTTAAAGCAGCTTCCAACTCTACAATTCTATGATTCTATAGTAAGACTTAAAAGTGTGCCTATGTGCTACTTATGATAATTCTATTAAATCTGTAAATTCCTCCCCCCTCTTTTTTTTGTAACCATGAGAATATATGAAATGAAAACTGAGAGCTCTTTCTTCTTAGCTTTCAGTATAAAGCAGTCTAACAATGCACACACACACATCCCACTGTGGTCAACAATAAGGTGACCTTACGATATTCGGAGTTCAGAATTTCAGTACAACACATCAATCATCACAACGTTCAAAGAGCAATATAAAGCAAATTGCAGACCTAAGACCTGAGGCTATTTAGGATTAATTGTCAAGAGAAGAATGGAAAATGAATGTATTTTAATCTTATTCTCAGTGTGTCATTTGTCAAATTTCCAAAGAGTCAATGTGATGTTGTAGCTGAGAAAATGGTTAAGTAAAGCAAATGGGCTGAACTGACTTTTTTATTGATATGCTGAGGATTAAAAATAGATATTCTTTGCGGCATAGTTTCCCTATGATTATATGCTTCTGCTGGCTATCCCCAGGAACTCACGCTTCTGGTGCTAGAGAGTGCCTTAACCTCCTCCGCATGGGAAGAACAGCTAGGGATTTCATTAACAAAGGGCACAATAAAATCACACAAATATGATGTTAAGGGCCTTAAATAAACCTACTAAACACATGTATTATACTATATCGCAAACTATGTTCACTACGTAATATATACAAATAATTTTTAAAGGGAGAAGCCTATCATTTTTCAAAAAAACAAGATTGCATTTCTAAAAGTGTCGGAAGGAGAGAAGCAATGACACTTCAACCACCATTGGTGGAACCATCACACGCAATGTTCTCCTGGGCTCATACCAACAGGGCGGAAATAAAGGCAGAGTAGAACTCTTGCTTTTCTTCATCCATTTCTGTGTGGTTTTTTCCCCCCTTAACACTTTCCCTCCCATTGGGAAGGCAGTTCACTTCTCCAGTCCCAGGACTGGCAGAGTAACCGCCCTGGTTTGGAAACATATCAACAGACAGGGAAGGCTACAGAGCCTTTGAATGCATGGCCTCCTCCCCATCCCCAACCATCACTGGCCATCCATCCCCAACCATCACTGGCCATCCATCCCCAACCATCACTGGCCATCCATCCCCAACCATCACTGGCCATCCATCCCCAACCATCACTGGCCATCCATCCCCAACCATCACTCTTTCAGCCCTACCAATGTTGGGAACTGTGATATTGGTAGAGCAAGAGCCACAGTGGTTCCTGTGGTGAGAAGGCAAAGAGTGTTGGTTCTCCCTCTCCAAGATTGGATTTTTCTCACTGTCAGGATGCTGTCAGCGGTTCCCAGCTGGTTGCCTAGGAAAGTCTAAAGACAATGAAAAGTTTCTTACAGTCCTTTTTTATTTCAGACTTTACAGAGAGAGGCAATGGAACCCAGCCTCTTGGATATTGGCGTTGTCCCGAGTGAATCTCCACCCACCCACCCCGTCTCTCCCACTTCCTCATTTGTCATCATCATTGTCTCCTCTACGGGTGCTACTAAGTATCCTATGTCTTCGAGCTCTTTGCTCTTCTACTTTTAAGGCTCTCCGGGTTCTGGGAGATGGAGGGTCTGGAATGCTTTCTAGTGACAACATGTCAGCCAACTGCTCTGGCTCTCCCAACTTTCCCCCTCATCTGCCTCTGAGCTGTGACCTCCCCCAAACCCCTGTCGTAAATATATACTGTCTTCCTCTTCCTCCACCCTGGAAGGGTCAGGATGGGGAGGTGGTCTCCACCATTTCTCCTCTGCCCAGTCCCTGACACTCGCCATCCATGGAGATGGACGTCTGATGCTTCTTATGGCTCCTAAAGAGTCCCTTCAAAGGACCACAGGATTGCAGGGAAAATTAACCCTAACTGCATTCTAATGCAGGGATGGAAACCCGTTTTAGCCCAGGGGTTGCACTTCCTAATGAGGAACTCTGGAGTGTGTGGGGGACACGTAGCAGTGGTGGCAAGGACCAGGGGCAAAGACAGACAGGGACAGAAGCCAAAAAGTAGGAGGACCAATGGATGTGACTCTTACCTTCATACCTTCATATGTTTCTGAGCACAATTCAAAGTGTTGGTGCCGACCTTTAAAGCCCTAAATGGCCTCAGTCCAGTGTACCTGAAGGAGCATCTCCACCCCCATCGTTCTGCCCGGACACTGAGGTCCAGTGTCGAGGGCCTTCTGGTGGTTCCCTCACTGCGAGAAGCCAAGTTACAGGGAACCAGGCAGAGGGCCTTCTCAGTAGTGGCACCAGCTCTGTAGAACTCCCTCCCACCAGATGTCAAAGAGAAAAACAACTACCAGACTTTTAGAAGGCATCTGAAGGCAGCCCTGTTTAGGGAAGCTTTTAATGTTTGATGGACTATTGTATTTTAATATTTTGTTGGAAGCCGCCCAGAGTGGCTGGGGAAACCCAGCCAGATGGGCGGGGTATAAATTATTATTATTATTATTATTATTATTATTAAGATGGCTATATTTCAGCCCCCCCAAAGTCAGCTACAGTCATACCTCAGGTTACAGACGTTTCAGGTTGCGTTTTTTCGGGTTGCGGACCGCCGAAACCTGGAAGTACTGGAATGGGTTACTTCTGGGTTTCGGCGGCCGCGCATGTGCAGAAACTCTCAATTGTGCTTTGCACATACGCAGAAGCGCCGAATCGCAACCCACGTGTGCGCAGACGTGCCACTGCGAGTTGAGGATGCTGCAGGTTGTGAATGTTCAGCCCACACAGCTCACGTTCGCAACCCAAGCATCCACTGTATTTCTACACACAGTCATCCTGCCCCACCCCCCAGCATAGCTCAATCCTTCATCCAGGCAAGTAAAAACCCTTTCTGCAGTTCAAGGGTCCATTCCCGTCAGGCAAAAGAACTTACAGCATTTGTAGATAGAGTGCAA